GTTTTCTAAGGCTGTTTCGAAGTTAGACTAGTATTGAACATCAGAGTGTATTCTATAGTTATCTTCTGTTAGAAAACTCATTTCACTACGTTTTCATTCAAAAAAAACGCGTTTCGTAGCATTGAACCAAGAATTCTGTAAAATGTTGAAAATTTTGAAGAAATTCAGTAAAGCCTGATGCAAAAATAATTCGTAGGACAGCTCAATGTTGGTATGTGAAAAAAGTATTTTCGGATAATTTACGATTTATAATAATAATTATTATTAATTTATGTATGGACTGCGTTATAGTAACTGATTATATACTCTTCGAAACATGACTAGAATATCACTTTCGTTCGTACACTATCGATGTATGTAAGTGCGGCTTGTTGATAAAAGAGGTTCGAATTAAAGAAAAAATATTTTTGTAGCTATGACTGCACTTGGATTTACTGATCATGGATTTACATTAACAAAAAAACATTCAATTCAACAAAACTTTGCAAATTTTGTAAAATTAAGATTACAGTTCTTTTGAATTTAAATTTACGAAATTTAATCTTTTTAAAATTTTTAATTCAATTTATATGGAATTAAATTCATTTTAATTGGGTATTTAAACTTTAAAAAAATAAAGTTTTACAAATTTAAATTTCTAAAAGTTAAATTTAAAATAAATTGACGGAAAATGACACTCTTCCTTGGATAAAAGCAGCAAAAAGAATATCATTTTTCATCGATTCATTCAGACGTGAAACAAAATTTATTCGAATCATAAATCTGTACAAGATATCTAAATAAGAATAGAGCAAACACTTAGATCATTCGACTATTTTAGTTGAACGGTTTGTATACATATCTTCTACTCTTATGTTCTCCTGTTCAAATCCACCTCTTAACTTTATCGAAACTAATGTAAGTTAACTCTATAATTCTATAAATTAATGTAAACCAGTATATAGATCGCACCTGCAAGTTGAGTTCTACGAAGTACTTGACGGGTTTTGTTTTTTTCTACCTTCAAAGTATGCAATACCACAGATTCAGAAACACTGCGAAATGATTTTAAGAAACAATTGTTTCACAATATTTATTTTAGCAGATGTGGAACGCATTAAACCGGCCAGCATTAACGCCTTTCACAGCTATGGGAAAACGCGTTTTCAGAACGCGTTTTTTTCGCAAAAATTTACGCCATGGGTACTATGAGCGAAGCTATCATCTTTTTTAAATTTTCATTTTATAGACTACAATGAAATGTAGCAGTCTCATCTTTATCTTGTTCATGTTATCAACTTTGTAATCATTCTGTTGATGTTTTCATTACTCTCCATACATGCGATTGTTCTCTTGCTCTATCAACGATATAAATATAAACATGTGTACGTACGTTTATTAGATTATAATTATTATTAATGTTAAAAGATCACAAATACTATGAATATTCTCATCTGTGTAGTGCTTAAAAAGAATTTAGAACTCCAAAAAGGTTTCAAAGTTTCTGCTAACGATTGTAGTCCATTAAAATATTTTCCGCTTGCATGATTATGCTGCTGATCTATTCTAGTTAAGGGCATTGACTCTTTACATATTCATCAACTTAATTTGTATAAGAAAACAACAGAAATACTTGATACTCGTCTTTTACCACCTAGTGAACAACACATATATCTATAATGAATAGCACTTACAAGTTGTATTGTTGATCGTTTAGGCAAGTAATCATATGTATTCTATTTTCGTCTTTCTTTTTTTCATAGACGAATAGAATTCAACGATTTGAATACTTTATTAATTTTACGAGATCAAAATTAATCCGTAGAACTTGTTTTTTTTGTACCGTTTTTCATAAGAGCATTTAAATGATTTAATATTTTAGATTTAAAAATGATTTGCCTTAATCCATCATTTAAGGGAATAAATTTGAAACAAGAAAATTTTTTTTCCGGTGTCTCTCCTATAAAGTAGGATGATCCTCTAACGGTCTCTCTCTTAGGAGAACTGATTTCAGGAAAAAAAAACACAATTTTATCGATATCTAGAAGCAAAGAGTTCTCTAGAAACAATGAAATTTTTCTAGATGTTTCACATGGATTATTATATGAAACATAAAATTTCCGAACTTCAATTCATTAGTACAATAGTTTATTGATTTTTCTGTTAAAAGTAAATAAAATTTTCATAGTTAATTAATAATAAAAGTGATTTATTATTCTTGGTTTAATAGCCGACAAATACAAAAGTATAATAGTTTTTCAAACTCGTTACTTCGAATTTACTATTATTCATGATTTATTAATCATAAACTTCATCATTATCTTCAAAACCATAATTATCATGTACTTTTGTGAGATGTTCATAAATATGATCACCATATGTTTTAACACATAACCAACACCAATGTGAATAACATGCTGTACATGTAATATGATTGCAACCATCTTTTTTACTTATTGCTACACCACATATCTCATTTTTTCCATTTAAACCTGGACAATATTTAATAGATTTAGTTTTAGAATTTTTACGAATTTCAGTACAATCATCACACATAAAATTTGTTAACATTGGAATTTCACCATTGGCACTACAGATTTTTTCTTGTGCCTTTTTAACTTTATAGCAATCAATACACCAAGCATAATACCAATGTTCATCGATATCATTTCTCTTATCAGCTCTTAATATAGTGCATGCTTGTTTATTATATTTTTTAAGAATTTTTCCATTTGGTGCATGTTTACAAAATGGACATAATAAATGTGTAACTAAAACAATACAACCAGGTTTTACATCTTGATACCAACTTGTTAAACATTCAGTACAAGCTTCAGCACAACATAATTTATTCCCACATGTATCATCGATTTGAGCACGTGCCACATCATTACAACAAATATAACAAGTAACACGTTCACAGTGACCACTTTGTATCCATGTCATGATTTGATCGTAGACAACTGTAGGATTTAGTATTGGTTTTTGATGATTAATCAATGGTAATGATGATATACTCACGTCTTTTGTATGTTCTATTTCAATAATATCTTTTAATTTAAATAATGATAATTCGTTAGAAAATATATTTGTGTCATCTTTAACTTTGATGTTTAGATATTTGTATAATTGTTTTTTATTTTGATCCATTAATGTACTAATATCAATTTCAACATTCACAATAGTTTTACTAGTTGTAGCATGTTGACATTCAGCGCAAATAAATGTGTATTCTTCTCCGAAATTTGGTTTTGTTTCAGTAGAATCATAATGAACATATTTATTTTGACACCCAGTACAACGACGATATGGTGCTACTCTTGATTCTTTTCGACAATAATGACATTTGGCTGCTGAGAACACTAACTTCTCATATTGAACTACTGCATATAAACAAGCACATTTCGAACATTCAGCTAAATGTGAATAATCATTAGTACATGGTTCAGGTATATCTTTGAGATTATAAATTGGTAAACATAGTGCACAACAACTTTTACCAACATCTGGAAATAATGTAGTCGATCGAATAATGTTACATGATTTACATTGAATTTTTATGTCATGATGAATTTCTTTTACTTTCGGACTGAATGGTTGCTGAATAGTTATATGTGTAGCAGCATTTATTTTTAATCCACCTAGAATATGTAGTTTTTTCAGATGCAAATATTCATCTTCAGTAAAAAATTCTGGTAATTTAACACAAATTTTACTAAATGCATAAGCATTATTTTCTGGCAATTCGAAATCAATCCATTTGTCTTTTATTTCTACTAAAAAACGTATAGCTCGTTCTTGTAATATAGCATTCTTTGATAAAACACATAACATAGCCATAATAGCAGCTGGACGTAATGAAAATTTGAGACCTTCTGCTAAAAGATGTGGTAATAATTCAAATATTTCATTGTCATTAAGATTTAATGGTAAATAATTTTCTGGTAAATTTGATTTATTTGTAACAATTGTTAGATGATTTAATAATTTCATTACTGTTCGTAATACATCGGAATTACATGATCGAGTAATTTCTAATAATTCATTTCGAGTCATTTTTTTATCTAATGTTAATACAATAGCTGGTACATGTTCTTTTATTTCAGCAATTCTATCCATAATTTCTTCTTTAGAATTGTAACTTTCTTCAATCCATGCTCGAATTATAGCAGTATCTGCTGATAGTGATGGATTCAAACTCATTGTATTTAATGTTTGTGATAAAGCTTTTATTAATTGATCTGTACGATGATCTTTTTTTTGTTTACATACAACACGCCATAATAGTCCTAATATTGTATTGCTTGTTAGAGCAAGAATATGTTGTGGAATCATCAAAGATTCTAATATTTCATATACTAAACATTTATATGGATCATCTTTTTCAAATTTATTTAACATAAAACGTAAATTAACTGTCATAAATTGAATAGGTTCAACTTTAAATGAATTGGTATGTATCGAAGCTAATTTTCGCCATTTTGTATCAGGTAAATACATAAGCCCGTTATATTGTGCATCATTTTCATTTTGAAAAGCGGATAAATCAATATTGGTAAAACTTAAACATTGTACTAAATCAGTTGGTTCGTATTCTGCATTGTATAAACTAGAATACAATGAAAAGCGATATATAAATGTTAAGTTTTTGATGAGCAAAATAAAATCAACTTAGCGAATCGCTCATCTTAGTAAATATGTAATTTACCTGAGAAATAAGTTAATAGTAACTTTTGAAATAGTTTTTACATCAGTATTTCTTAAGAATAATGTTTTTCCTTGTGTATATTCACTTAATAGTATATAAAATGATGCGGTTCCAAAACTTGTACTATTTATAATTGGAAATACTTTGCAACCAAGTTTTTGATATAACTTGCATAATTGAATCCAATCATTTTTTTAAATATATTGTTTTTCAAGATTCCAATAAGAACCGCCAGTCGTTTGATGATGTGGTGGTGCATCGGTATAAATCACTACTACCGTATTAGAATCAACTAAATTCATATCTAATGCTTTATTTAATGCTGTTTTTGTTGCTTCTGGAGTATCTCCTCCACCATCTGGTCTTAGATTTTTAAGAAATGTTGAGATTTTATTCATATCAGTAGTGTATCCAGAAAAATCTGTGACTTTCCGAACAGGTTGATCATAGTCACGATACCCTATAAAATCAATATAATTATTACGGAATCAGCAATTATAGAGACAACTCATATTTTTCTATTATTAGTTCATTAAAATAGATTCGAAAAAAAAAAGAAATGTCCGTTAGAATATTTTCATCAATCAAATCCATATTACTTACATAGAATTCCAATCTCGGACTGTTTCTCCGAAGTTAGCTTCATGATTGATGCTACCTGATAAAGGGATATTGTAAGAGAGTCTAAGAACACTCCCATAGACCCAGTTGCATCGACCATAAATAAAACACGATAGCTAGTTTTATCATTTGATTTCGACCTTACTACTAGTTTAGCCATGGTTGTTGCTTTGTGGATGTGTGCAATAATGAATGGATAAAACGAGCTAACTCTTCTATTTATACTACAAATATGTCATATTTTTTTTATCTCATATTGACATTCATTTTTTCAAGGATTTATTTACTTTATGATGCAATGAAACTTTATTTTCGTCATGTGCATATTGATTCTATCTCACTTTCAACATTTCAGAGTTAAATTTCACATGAGATAGAAAATATTTTTAAAAAGTACCCATACAACTGACTATGCTATCAGACAAAAATAATTTAGTTTCATCATTGTGGTGTCATAAAATGACACATTAATAAAACAAAAAAATAAAGAACGAAAAAATCTTCTTATGATAAGACTCTCATATGTAATGTTTTGCCAATTCTGTGAAAACGAAACAAATACTTACGAAAATCCATAGTCGATTGGGTGTGGGTGTGAGTATGATATTCTTTATATACAGCCACACTCACCCACCAACTGCAATGCATGTTTTTTCTTAAAAAAGATTAGCTAGATGGGATAACTCATTTCAGCAAAACATTCGGTGTAATGCAGGAAGACGAGAAAAAAACCTGAAAAAGTAGAACGGCAGAAAAATAGCAGAAAAAAGGCAAAGAACGGAAGAAGTAGCAACCCTAATCGAAGGTCAAAAGACATTTATAGTATTAATTTGTTTGGATTGATTAATATAGTTCTGCACCGTTCAGAATTATCGGACTATATCCACCAGCAACTAACACCGTTCCATTTGTTAATAAAGATGAGGTGTGAACACTTCGAGGGTTACTCATGTTACCAGTAATTATCCAAGTTTCTGTTGACGGATCATACAATTCAGCACTATTTAGATCCCGACCAGCATTTCCACCAGTAACTAACACTTTTCCATTCGTTAATACCGAAGCTCTGAGATGATATCGTGCATAATTCATTCTATTAGTAGAAGTCCAAGTTCTTGTTAATGGATCATATAATTCAGCCTTATTAAGAGCACCAGCATTAAATCCACCACTAACTAATACTTTCCCATTTGTTAGTACGGCTGCTATGTGAAAATATCGGCCGTTAACCATAGTATCAGTAATTGTCCAAGTTCCTGATGATAAATCATAGAATTCAGCTATATTTCCAGCACCATCACTATCTCCACCTGCAACTAACACTTTTCCATCTGTTAATATGGATGCTGTATGATAACGTCGTGGATAATTCATGTTAGTAGTAGTTGTCCAAGTTTCTGTTGATGGATCATACAACTCAGTAGTATTTAGAGCCCTAACATTAGTATCTCCACCCGTGACTAGCACTTTTCCATTTGTTAATAAGGATGATGTGTGATAATACCGTACATAATTCATGTTACCAGTAGTTGTCCAAGTTCCTGTTGATGGATCATACAACTCAGCAGTATTTAAGGCACTATCATTCGTTCCACCAGAAACTAACACTTTTCCATTCGTTAATACGGTTGCTGTGTGATGATACCGTGCATAAGTCATGTTACTAGTAGTTTTCCAAGTGTCTGTTGATGGATCATACAATTCGGCACTAGTTTGGGCACCACTCTTATATCCACCACTAACCAATACTTTTCCATTTCCCAATACGGATGCTGTGTGTCCCGATCTTGCTTGATTCAAGTTACTAGTATTAGACCATTCTAGACGAAAAAATATTTCAATGCATTCGTTCTAATAAAAAATGTATTATTGAACTTTTTGAATCGTCTAATCATATGCAAAAATTTTGGGATTTTGTAAAATAAAAATGATTTCATATCGTTAATACAATATGTTTTGAATTTCTGGGAAGCACTAAAAACCTTGAATTTATTGTAAAGAATCACTCGCGATGTGATACAACAGTAGATGTCACAGTTTTGATTAACAGATAAAGTAGATCTGTATTTTCTTTGTCTCATTACATTATTTATAAGATTAATGCACTTTCGATGATATGCAACTTCTATTGTTTATAATCGGTCCATGAAACTCCCGAGATAAAGAAGATATGGCGAAAAATAGTGTAAACCGTGCAACTGCCGACAAAGTTACGCCATCAAATTCAAAACAGACCCGTGTCTTCGTTTCCAACTTGTTTCTCAACGATTTCCGTAGTCGGCAATGATGTCCAAATACGAGTGTTCTTTCTGTCATCGTTTCGAAGTAAGAAATACAGTGATTTAGCACGGCTCAATAGTACGGACTGTGCACAGTCGCGTTCGAAACTCGAATGAGACGAATCGAACAATGCTTTTTATATGTAAATTAGCTGTTTTCCTGGAGTAACTTTCATTTATATCAATCGATATTAAAATGTTATCTTTCCTGAAAACTAAAAGACAGGTCTATACAACATTGTTAGTCAAATTTATTGTTGAAATATTGAAAAAGGCTTTTTCTAATAAATCTGCACATCTACTTCTATGGTTATTTGAATTCAGATAGGATAGGTCTCGAAGATCTTTGTAATTTAATGTATATATATAGCATTCAATTTCAAAAATGTTGTACTTTTAAAATTTGTCAAATTCTGCAGCAATGCTATAGGATTCTGAACGCCGCTTAATACTCATCGTCTTTGAATTCACATTGAATTCAAATGAAGGATTGTATATGTTACAAATTTGACTATATAGTGACATCAAACGAAGAGGAAGGGTGAATTTCGTTGTATGCATATCAATAAAACGAAGTCAACTTCGATAGTCACGAAAAATGATTACTTCAGTTTTTCTCATGATAAAGATCGAATCATTAATGACAAGATCTCTAATCTGTGTAACGTAACGTTTATATAGACGAAAAGTATCGTTGCATATAAAGCGACGACATATATATAATTTAAAAATAGCATTTCAGGAGGTTAAGGAGGGTTACTCGACAGCTTACTTGATTGTTGAGCGGTAGTCGTAGTTGTCGATACTAGTGTTGTTGTCGTTGTTATTGTTGTCAGTGATGATGTAGTTGTTATTATTGTTAATGGTGATGTTGTCGTGGTAATGGTAGTGGTTTCTGACTTATTTGGAACAAGAATGACGAATTTTAAGATCAGAGAGAAGATAATTAAAATAACTGTTAAAATAATAAGAGTGATGCAGATGACTTTAATATGACGATGATGCCACCATTTGCTTGATCTATTATTTTCAGTGATATGCTCACTGTTTAACGAGTTATATTGCATATTATGTTCGTCAAGAAACTTAAACTCAAAAAATGACGAGCTATTATTCGAAACTACTTTATGTTTGTCTATGAATCTCACAAAAGTAACAAAAGATAAGTAATATTATCTCTAGCACAAAAGATATTACTATACTCTTATCTTTATATAATAAATTTTACATGTGACCATGATAGCATGAAACTTTACTTCACTTTTATGTTTTCTCACGTTAAATGCTTTATCTGAATGTTAGTTTTTATTCAGCACATACTACAGTCCAAAGTATTGTCTTCTTTACCACTGCGTTCGGAATGCCAATTCTTTGTCGATTTTGTGAAACACGATCTAAAAGGAGTGTTGAAGTATATAGGAGTAGAAATTTTCACCCACTACCCACGCCTCCCCCACACACAGACGTGACAGACAGCTTTATATAAGCCATAGACTGTGACCGACAGGCAAGGGCAGCATCACAGTCCATAACAGACATAGATCTAAACTATTTCCGTGTCATCAGCCACAACAGCTATATCGTGTTTCACATTTTAATCCAGTAGGGATTGTGCTAACAGCTTTTTTCACTTACAAGCGCCCATCTAATTTTTGTAGAAAGTCTCTCAATAGTGTTTCACAGATCGATGATTTTGATCTCTGAACTCGGTTGATTCCATTGATTGTTTTGCAATAATTGTACACGCATGATATCAGTGTATCTGTGGCAAAAATCTATGCAAAAAAATCTGATGAGCAATTCTCGTACTCGGAATTAATCTGAGACGATAGAGATCTGTTCTGTTTCCTGAATATTCCTTTCTTTATCGACTGAATTCCGTCAGACTCTTGGTATTTCTCCTAATCAGAAATGTATGAAGAGTCCTCATTCCCAGTACGATATCTTCTGATTTGGAACGCTGTTTTCATGATGTTTTGGTCGGTTCTTATAAAAAGATCAGCCGAAAATGCCCTCACCCTTCAGAACTAATTACGTTTGTGTGTACGCACTGATTTATTACGTACAGTGTCACTGTGTATGAACAAACGATATTTCCATAGAAACATTTCATTGTTATAAAAAATAAGACAGTTATGCTTCAAGAATAACATTCGAAAATGCGACTCTTTGTATAGAACATCAAATATCGCTCATAGTGTTAGCTTTTTGAAATGATTAATATAGTTCTGCATCGATCAGAGCCACACCATCATATCCACCACTAACCAATACTTTTCCATTTGTTAATACGGACGCTGTGTGATAACATCGTGCATGATTCATGCTATAAGTCATTGCCCAAGTTCCTGTTGATGGATCATACAATTCAGAGCTATTTAGATAATCATAATTACCGTTCTTTCCACCAGCTACTAATACTTTTCCATCTGTTAATAGAGATGCTGTATGTCCCTCTCGTGCATTTTTCATTCTACTAACAATTGTCCAAGTTTCTGTTGATGGATCATACAATTCAGCATCATTTAAAGTGCCAGCATAATATCCACCAGTAACTAACACTTTCCCATCTGTTAATATGGATGCTGTGTGATAATATCGTTCGCTATTCATTCTACCAGTAATCGTCCAAGTTTCTGTTGATGGATCATACAACTCAGCACTATTTAGAGCATCATTATTCAATCCACCAGTAACTAACACTTTTCCATTTGTTAATATGGATGCTGTGTGATAAAATCGTGCATAATTCAAACTACCAGTAGTTGTCCAAGTTCCTGTTGTAGGATCATATAATTCAGAACTATTCAGAGCAAGACCATGAATTCCACCAGTAACTAGCACTTTTCCATTTATTAATAATGATGCTGTGTGTGAATTTCGAGAGTTATTCATGTTACCAGTGGCGGTCCAATTTCCTGTAATTGGGTCGTACAATAATGCACTGCTTAGATAAGTGCTACTGTTCGATCCGCCAGCAATTAACACTTTTCCATTCATTAAAATGGATGCTGTGTGACGATATCTTGCATCTTTCATGCTACCAGCAAATTTCCAAGTTCCTGTTGATAGATCATAGAACTCAGCAGTACTTCGATAACCACCATAATATCCACCAATAATTAACACATTTCCATTGGCAAGTACGGATGCTGTGTGGTAGTATCGTTCACCTAGCATTCTCCCACCATAAGTCCATCCTAGGCGAAAGAATTAGAATATATTCATTCAAAGAAGAATGTGTATTATTGAATCCTTGAGATCTTCTAATCTATGGATGCAACATTGATGGTGAACCAGTGTAACGATAAGCTGATCGATTTGTAGTCAGTTATCGTTAGGCATGCTCCAAGCCAGGACTTTTCGGATTCCATTATTTATGGATTCAGACATTCAAATAGTTTCAACTTTTGAAAGAGATCTGAAAGTAATAGCTATAACTTTTGTATAGTTATCTTGAGGGTAGTTCTAGTAACATTTTGACGGTTACTCGGGAGCAGTATCTATATCTCTTTAGAAGGTATATCTAGGGGCGCGACGGTGCCGATCATAAACCGGTTGCCGATGGACCACCATCACTGTTGCATCTTTACTCTGTAGAAAACTTTTTAATTTTTGAGAACAACAAAAAACACTAAGAAGTCGTTGATCATAGGATACGACAGTATCATTTGTACAATTTACAAAGACAAATCGATAATAGACAGCATGATAATTCATATTCTTGTATTGAAAATCTTTTTCATTATTATGCCGAATAAAACATACATCATTGAGCATGTAGCTGTCTCAACTGAACTGGTTCTTTTCGTTGTAATCGAGGTCTAATCGATCGTGATATTGTATCATGTATTTTAGGTATGGTTGATGAACGAGAAGAACAAGAAAACTCCTCACTTTTACATGACCACAGTAGCTCAATGGACAATAGCTAGTTCTCTATCTTCTACTGTGTGGGAACTGTAGTTGAGTCTTATCTGATGCATTTTATTCAAGGACTTGAAGCTAGGTCTATTGACATTAAGATATCATTTAGAGACAACAGCGGATCAATACCGTAACAGAGTATTGCTTTTATTCTCCATCAGAAATTGGAAAAATCGTTCAACAAATCTACACGCATTTAAAGACCTTAGAATGTTGTGTCTTGGACGAATGAAATTGCGTTCATTGCATAGATGTTCAAATGTTTGAAAACGAGTTACGATCCGAGGAATTATTCCAACAGAAGGTATTTCTGCGATGTATACAGTGTCACAACATTCTCTTTATTATATTGACTCTGAAAATTGGAGGCTTGTTTCCAACACATATTAAAATAAAGATCGAAATAAAAAATCATTTGTATGTCCACACAATTACTGCACGACGATAAAAAGTAGATGTGCGAATAGAAAGAAACTAGTTGTCGGAAAATTTCAGAAGCCATCTATGGTTTGATTTCAATACAATAATACAAAATTTATTGGCCACCGAAACGTAGTGCTACTTACAACTCTTATTTACTTGGGTGGAACAACAGCAATAATTGATGTAAATATGCACTCATGGAACGACAAAATTTGAAAGAAGAAAATTTCTACTAGCTACTTTTTTACGTTTCTATCCAAGAAAAAAAAAGAAGATGAAGTTCAATGCTTCTGAAAATATATCTGTTAATGCGCCATGATGTGATGAATCGATGGCTGGTTTTTATTTTAAAATTAGGCCATTTTCGTCTTGAAATCATCTTTTTTTCTCTGACTAACTTTAATTTTGTGTGGAAATGACAGAATTAGGAAAAACTACATGATAAAGCAGAATAAGAAACGCAATATTTTTCACTCAAAATTTGCTCTGTTTCTATTCTCATTGTTCTCTTGAGTGGTCAACTACTTAGTTATTAATGAATTGTTTACTTGTCTCCGGAAACTAAAATACATCTCTCCACGATTTTACTACGTAAAGCTTTGATTGGAATACTAGAAAAAACGTTTTTTTTTTCTTTCAAATTTAGGCCACTTGACTCTATAATTATTTCAATTCAAGTATGATATGCCGGGGAGAGCCTTTCAAATTCTATAGATATGGTATAGAAGTCTAAAGACCCACTAGATTCTAATCACATGCTAAAAAAAATAAATTTTAATATTGACAAATAATAGTCAACACAGGGATCACTATTACTTCAGTTTTTCTCATGATAAAGATCGAATCATTAATGACAAGATTTCCAATTCTTGTAACATAACCTTTGTCTAGACGAAAAGCATCATTGCATACATAGCGACTATATATATATGTATATATAATTATAATTTAAAGATAGTATGTCAGGAGGTTAAAGAGGATTACTCGACAGCTTACCTGAGTGCTGAGCGGTGGTCGTAGTTGTTGATGGTAGCGTTGTTGTTGTTATTATTGTTAATGGTGATGTTGTCGTGGTAATGGTAGTGGTTTCTGACTTATTTGGAACAAGAATGACGAATTTTAAGATCAGACAGATGGTAATTAATATAACTGTTAAAATGATAAGAGTGATGCAGATGACTTGAATATGACGATGATGCCACCATTTGCTTGATCTATTATTTTCAGTGATATGCTCACTGTTTAACGAGTTATATTGCATATTATGTTCGCCAAGAAATTTAAACTCAAAAAATGACGAGCTATTATTCGAAACTACTTTATGTTTGTCTATGAATCTCACAAAAGTAACAAAAGATAAGTAATATTATCTCTAGCACAAAAGGTATTACTATACTCTTATCTTTATATAATAAATTTCACATGTGACCATGATAGTATGAAACTTTATTCCACTTCTACGTTCTTTTCATATTAAACGTCCTCATCTTAATATTAGATTTTGACTCAGTACAGATTACAATCCAAAGTATTATCTTATTTTCATGCATTGTAAACATCTACTATGTGATGAGCTTTTCGCTTACAGATGAATCTTTAAATGTAGCATGATGTCTCTAAATTGATCTTTTCAAAAATGAAATGAAACATTTAAATCGATTGTGAAGGTACATACAAGATATCGTAGCAGCAATAATTCTGAGTCCATATGTTCTAAAACGATATATAACGCATCTGTTCTATTTGAATTTTTAGTGTTCATGTATTGATAGATAAGGACTCATCAGACGGCTGCTTGTTCATATTGAGTAATCATACTTAACACTGTATCTCCTCTGTCTTTGATAGGGGTAGATTAAGCAGTTTTGTTATTATCATCCATTAATAATGATGAATTTGGATATGCCGTCTGATGAGTTCCTTCAGCAAGGACGAAACTGATCACAGCTGCTTGTTCATGATGAAAAATATCTTTTTAGGGAAGGACTTTCCAGACACTCTGTACTTGATGTGATCTCAGAAGTACGCCAAAGTCACAAGAATTGGGGTATCTATGAATAACAAGATTAATAAGTAAATTTTTGCTAAAGTCGATCAAACCTGGAGACGATCGAGCAATTTTTTGAAAACCGGTGAGCAAAAGGATGGAAACAACCTTGAAATTTTGCTGGAAAAGAGTGAAAAGTTTTCAAACTTGGGAGATCTTCGCCACTAGGGATACGTCTATTAAGAAACAAAAGACATAGTAATTTCTAGATGGGGCTAAAAGATGAATAAGGAAACGTCGTTTTTACATTAAGTCCTACGCGAGGCGAGGCGACTCGGTGGCGAGTTGAAGGCCAAAAGGCAACGCGAGGCAAAGTAGTAGTGAGCGAATCGCCTCGTGGTGAGACGGTGGTGAGGTGTGTTTCCGACCGACTCGCGGATCTCTGATTGATATATTTGTTGAGATTTTAGACAATTACTACAGATATATTTAATTGAATACATTGAAGAAGAGAATGACTGCATCATAAAAGAGAAAACGAACGCTCGAACGTGGCTAGTTTTGATATCTTTTGATCACATAATACTACAATTGGTCTAGCACACATACTACGTACTTTATGTAAATAAGATAAAAGATGCCACTATAAACCATAAGGACATCGCTAGTGAATTTAGTCTTGCCCGAGTTTCTTAGTTTCCTGCATCGCAACACATAAATAAAAGCTTTTCACAAGGGAACACCACGGACAGATACATCGCTTTTTAAATTTTAGTGTTGCCAATTTGTAGAGCTTGTTGAGTTATTAACTAATATAATAATCATCCGGGCTAACAACGCGTTTTACAAGTAAATCTATATATGCAATGTTCAATACCTATGTGTCTACATGGGGTCAAAGGTCAACAGGAGTAGGGAGTGGCTAAAATTTGAGTTTTGACTTTGGTACATGTGCAAAGATACTCGCCGCGTAATATCACTTTACATGGTGGTTGTCTTTGTATCTGTACCTAAGTCAAAACTAAAAGATTAGGGTGTGGGTGAGCGTAAGTGTAGGTGTGGGTGTGGGGTATGGGTGTGAATATAAGTCTAGTATTTCCTCTTACGCACACCCATACTCATACCCACGCTCCACACCCACACCTACACATACATGCACTCAGGGTGGGGTGTGGGTCTTATTCTCACACCCCACATTGGCCACCATCGCTGCAGGAGAAAAACATTATATCGAAAACTTGATCATCGTGCTACTTTGGTCCTAGATTCGAATTTGAAAGAGTGGTCGGTGTAGATGTAGGTATGGGTTTGGATATGAGGTGTGGATATGGGGTATGGGTGTGTGGATGCGAATATTGGGTATGGCTGTGGGTGTGTGTTCTCCACACCCACAACCCATCACACTCCTCACACACTCACACTCACCCCTCCTCCCACATCCAAATATGACACACTTCTCAGTGAACACGGGATAGATCAACATTGTCAGTTGAAGGAAAATGGTCTCAAATTAAAAATTGAATATCTCAATGACGACTTGAGCTATCGGAGTGCGCTCAGTGGTGAAAAACTCACTAATTGGTATACTTTTGAAATATGTATGTGGAATCAAACTTCGAAAAAATCGATTGAGCAGCATAGATCGTGGCTTCAGTGAAATAGCTCTTATGGGAAAACCTTTTCTTTCAAATAGTTTACGGAGGAAATAATGAATTTATTTGTTGAATTTCTAACCAAATTTTTTCACATCATAGCCTTAAAGTTATTTGATTTGGTTCTATATTTTCTGGATTTTAATACTCGATCAGAATCAACTTCTAAACCGAGTATGGGTGTTTGTGTTAATGGTTGATTTTGGTCCACATTGATCAAAATAAAAATTTATTGTTAATAAACATAAAAATAATTGATTATCTCGATTATTTTACATAAGATACAACAGGTCTGACACAAAAAAAAATCAATCCATTCAAATAATACTAGTCATTTAGAAAAAAAAATTGTTTATAAACAATAAGATATTCTGAGGGTGTGTGTGGGTGTCGGTGTGAATATCAGTGACAGAAAAAGACATCTACACCCCACACCCTCTGATTCTTTGGTTCAAATAAGTTGGAATTAGGGAAAACAATATGAAAAAATTTCTTTTAATTAGGAATAAACTTTTTTGAATATATTTATTTTTACTAAAAAATCAGTAGCTTTTTAACTACAAGTTAGAAAAAAAAATCAGATTTATGAAAATAATAAATTATTTTATTAAAATAATTCTCTATGTACTTAGTGTTCAAATTAAAGCGTGTCTATTCTAGAATCAGCAAATCATAGTGTAACTGAAGTGTCTAAATGTCTATAGAAGATGGTTGTCAGAGACCCACTTCGATTGGTGTAAAAGAGCCAATCACAAAAATTGAAGACGCGTCAGTGTCTCGAAATTGTTATCCGCAGACACTTGAAGTGTCTAAATTGAACTTATATCGACTAATAAGAAATTAATTAAAGTGTCTTAAATGAACGCATGAATCGTCTTATTTAGACACTTCATCTGTCTTCATTTTTTAGAGTGTACGAAATTTACTACTGCTTGATTTGTTTTGTTCATTCCAGTGCATGAAGACGGTTGTCACGGTATCCAATGGTCACACTTAAGTGAGATTTAAAATTTAGAAAAGAAAGCTAGCGTCTTAATTATCACACTAAAATGAACTTTCTACTCGCTATACAAGTGAGTATGTGTTTTAAATGATCAAACTTCATAGCTATAATTCTGGTGAGTCTAATGCCTCATTGATTCTATGCGTTCCGCCGTCAATGTATCAGGCTATGATTGAGAAAAAACTTGATCGAACTCTTCTTACTAAAAAAAAATGCGGATGAATAATGAATAGTTTTTAATTTTCATTTCGAGTTTAATTTAAAGAATCAATCAGATGAAAAACGTTTAAAGAGTAAAAGAAATCGAAAATTTTCTTAAGAAGATTGTAGGTCTTCTCCTTATACACTTCACATCCACGCACATCCTAATTATAAGTACTTAAGCGTGCGAGAAGCATAGATATGAGCAATGTACAGTCTATTTCTAGCCAGCATTGAATAAATATTCATAAATTGTATACATTAATTGAATGAATTTTTCTCTGCTAAAGTAGGATGTTTTATTTTTCATTGCATTCATATTATTTTTGTATGTTTCGATGTGATCAAGATCCGGTGAAGCCATTTTCAGTTCGGCATGATATGCATTTTTATAGTAGAGTAATGCTTTGTCATAGTTATTCATTTCATTAAATATAGCTCCAATAGTACTATATGTTAATGATGTAAAACAATTTTCTTCTGATGAATGATCAGTTGAAATTATAATTCTGCTCATAAAATAAAGTTCATCGATATTTTTATAAACAGATATTAGTTCCTCGTTATCAGCTGGCAATATTTTCAATCCTATTCTCAGTGCTTGTTTGTAATTATCCAATGCAATATCATATTTATGATTGAGATAATACATTTCTCCTAAATCATTATATAATGATATTAACTGATTGTCATTCGGTGGTATATATTCAACAAGAGTTTTCCGTGCCATTTCGCTCATTTTGAATGCATCGGCATATTTATTTAATTTGAAATAAACTACACTAAGATTTCGATAGTTTGTCATAAGATCTGCACAATTCAAATCCAATGATAATAAACGAATTTCAAGCTCCTTATTATAATATTTTAATGCTTTACGAAAATCTTCCTTAGCAAAACAAACACTTGCAATATTATTATATGTTATAGCAAAAGTAGGATGATTCGACGGAAATAATTCTTGTTCTATCGTGAGCGTCATTTCAAAATTTTTCATAGCCATGTCATAATTGCATATGGTATTATAAATCATTCCCAAGTTATTATACGTCTTCGCTAATTCTTGAGGATTGATAAATTGCGTTTTTTTCATTATTTCAATCTTATTCGAATACGCATTAATAGCTTGGTCAAATTGATTCTGTTTCGAATACAATTCAGCTAAAATATCATATGTCGCAGCAAGTAATTTATGAACTCTCGGACAATGTTCAAAAACTTTTTTAGCATTGACAAGTGCCAAATCAAATTTATTTTGTCTTAGATAAATACCTGCAATATTATTATATGTACCAGCTATTTCTTCCGGTTGTATGTCATTGAATGTCAATTGAATTTCTAATGTCTTTTGAAAATGATGTAATGCATTTATTAATTTTCCTTGTTGACAATATATAAATCCAATATTATTTAATGTTTTTGCATATTCAAGAGAATTCATTTGTACAAATTTTTCTACATCAGTTACTTGTGTAAAAGTCTCTAATGCAGCATCATAATCATTAAGTTGACGATAAATAGAACCAATATTGTTATATGTTCGTACAATATTTGAATCATTAGGTGATAAATATTTTGATTGTAACTCAAGTACAGTTTTGAAACATGCGATTGCTTCTTGACAATTTTTATTAGCTAAATTTGCAAATGCCATCCCATGTCGTCGATAACGATTAAATAGCGGCGTTATAACGCCACTATTGCGATCGCACTGTGACCCCTTTTAGCGCTGCGCCGCGCTGTTATTACGCGCTATAACGGCACTACGAACCGATATTGCGCGCTATAATGGCACTATAAACCGATATTGCGCGCTATAATGGTACTATAAACCGATATTACGCGATATAACGGCAATAAGAATCGATATTGCGCGATATAACTCTACATCTTTCACTATTTCGGTGGTTCTATACGCCTGCACCCTTATTACATTCTTTTGGTTCATATTTAAAGGTTTGTTTCTAAATAAGTTCCATGATTTTCTTTCAAATTTTCTTTCAATATGTAAAAAAAATACATTCAATAGATATCAACAACAAAAAATAAACGAATTCTTGTACAAAAAAGATTTATTCGTGTATAAAGCCAATTCATTCGTGGTGCTTTATAAATTTTACTTTTACCACCACCACTCTCCTCTTTGCAAGAAAAACATCCCAAAGCCATTCGTTAAATATGTGTTCTAATTGATTATCAGTAATTTTAACTTAGAACGAACAACTTCCGAATATAAAAAATTACGATTTCAACATGAGAAAAACTTAATTATTGCTTTTTATCAATTTATATCAATTATCATTATAAGTATCAGCTGGTTGTAATACAACCAGCTCTTCCATAGTGTATATCAATTGGATTAACATTGTTACATAAAGATTTGCTTTATCTTGTGTCCCAAAAATTTTAAATAAATTGACACCAGGTTCATTTTCAGATGATTTAAAAATCTAAATATAGAAAATAGAAGCGAGAATATGGTTGAAGATCATACTCACCAAAGACGAAGGAAAACTTGTATCATCATTGTCAACACTAGCTGATTCTTCAAGTGAAATGAATACCTAAATTAAGTAAGATATATGTCACAGTTCACATGAGATTTTAAGTTAAGATTGCAACGCACGACATAATGGAAAAAGAAAAGAATAAAAAAAAGTAAAAAAATGTTTTTGATTGCTCAAGCTTTGATGACGAGTGGAAAATTTTTCATTTAAACGATCCTTCGTGAATAAAATCATATTAAATATATTTAAAAAGATATATGAATTTATTTATTCTTTTTCGATTTATTAATAAAAAGCTTGTCAGCGCAGCCCCTTTGGGGCTAAAATGTGGAACTCACATATCTTCCTTAACTTAATTATGGTAATATAAAAATCTTTCTTCAGAAAATTAAACGTTGCTAAGGTCTGTAATGGGGGTGTCTGTAATGGGGGTGTCTGTAATGGCGACCTGTCTGTAATGAGGGGGGTGTCTGTAATGGGGGTATGTCTGTAATGTTCTCTTTCTTCGTTGCTAAGTGTCTGTAATGGGGTGGGGGGGGGGGGGGGGGGGGGGGGGGGGGGAGCCGCCCAACCTCGAACTGAAAACTTACACTCACTATTTTCTTCGAAAACATACGTGAGTTCCACAAAAAACTAATTAAAAAGTTTTTAAAATCTTATTTAATGCTGGTTTTTGCTCTTGTGAGTCATATTATAATTAAACTTCACTATTAAAGAGATACTGGAAAAAAAGTTATCTTAATAAAAATAAAAAAATTATTCAATATCTGCATATTCCCAGCATTTAAAAAATCTAGAGAAAATTTATATTGATTGCAGAAAAAAAAACGAAATACGCGATCATTATATAAGAAACAAATGTATTTTTCAATCAAATTTAACCATTTATTGAATGTCATCGTGTCGCATCAGTTAGAAAACGTAGAAAAGATATATATAAGTTGTAAAAAAAAAGAACAAAATACTAGGTTATCATATAACAAAACAATCTATTGTTTAATCGACTTTAACCAATCTTTCAATGTTTCCATGCCCCCATTGTTAGAAAAAAAATATAGCAAGAATTTAAATTTTTTATAGAAAAACAAACGAAATTGTCACTGTAATAACCGTGTTTGCAGTTTTATATGTTCACTGTGTTTCTTATAATAAAATTATAAAAATACTACTCCAATCTCAACTAGCTTGTAAACTCAACTGTCACATCAATAAAACTTTCATTATAATAACTCATGCATACATTGAGCAACAATTTTTAGTGTTTTTTTTAAGGAAATGTTTGTAATATGATACTTCTCTTTTATATAAAGCTTTTTGAATCTACATTTGATTCTTATATAAAGACTTCATCATCATTCCTAATCTTTCTTAACCAGTCAACAATGGTATAAAGCTTCTTTTTCCACAGACTGAAAGCAACTGTCTTTATCCATCGATCTATTAATTCTCGTATCAGTTGTAACAAATTTTAATTAATCGACGACCTTTAAACTTGGACGGTTTAATTGGTTCAATTGATCGAATAAAATCATCTTTATCAGATTCAGTATCAGATGATGATGTATCGTCATCTTCTTGTACTTTTTTAGATTTTTTTTCCTTTCGTGGTGATGAAAATGAGTCAATAACTGATCGTTTACGTACATTGATATTCGAAATGGAATTTGATGTTGGTGTACCTTGTGTCCCCATTAAATCACTATCAATTGTTGATGAAGATAATGACATAGCTTTTTGATCAGTACAAGAAATAGAGACAATTGTTGGCGCTAAACATCGTATATAATAAATAATAAAAAACAGAATATATTTACATGCTGTATTTGTTGCATTTGTATCAGCATTACTTGTGGGATAACATTCAGTACGAGTTCGTTGCCAACCTACAATGTCAAGAATGAATAATCATCTTCCTTACGAAAATGAAAAAAAACTTTAGCTATCTTGCTTCTATCACCACCACCCTTCACTCGAATCGGAGTTACAATATTGTTTATATCTACAAAATTCAAAGGTAAATTGAAACATTGCGTTTCAAAGATTTAGAAATAAAGAGGCATGACTGTTCATTTCCCATTTTATCTTGAGTTGATTAATAAAAAAAGAGCCAAAGATGATAATTCCTTTTAGATCACTTACTTGAATTAGGCAGCGTATATCGAGATGACCATTCAATAAGATCACTTGTAGGAACATCAATTGAAAATGGTGCGTCCTTGAGAAAATTAAATTTTTTTTCGAAAATAAAACAAACTAATATGCATACCGTCTAATTAAAATCAATCTTGTTCATAATCAATTTTTATCTTCAATACACAAAATATATCAGATATTGGAAGTAGAACAAATGTATGACGAAGATTAGTAGCTGGGAAAATGGTAAACTTGTTAAAGAGTAGTCATTGGACAAAATATGTTTATTCGATCATGTAATTTACTTGGTAGTATCACATAATGTGAAATTTGTTTGTCACAATAAACATACCGTTGAATAAAAACATAATTTTGATTATCTCTTGAGAAAAGTATTGTTATTTTTTGATATGGAACTATATTAATGTTATTGCTATCAATGAAAGAAATAAAGTCACTATTACAATTAAAAGTACAATCGTATATCGAAGAATGGAAACTAACGACTGAAGATCGATAACGTTCGTACAAATATATGACCTTGCTAAAGTTACCACTCATGCAAGATATTGTATGAATATGGGATCATCTGAGTTCAATATCTATGTCGATAGAAGAGAGAAGAAAAAGAAATGTGGATAACGATCATCTATCGTTTGTAAAAAATGAAATAAGTGTGAATATAGTAATTATGGCCATGTAGGTTATTTTATTCGTTTGTTTCGCCGTCTGTTCTGTCCAAGGAAAGAGAAAAAAATCGCACAACTCGCGTAACCGTATCAGTCAAAAGAAAAAAGAAAATGTAATATGATTACTTATCTAATTTATCCTGTTTGTTTATATCGAACAGAAGTGATTGTGTACAAATGAAATTGTTACAATTTTTGTATGTTTCTCTTAATTGTACTTACACTCATCAGACAATTGTTTGTTATATTAAACTTGTTGGATAGTGTTGCATGTCGCATTTTGATTCAATACGCGATCTGAAAAGCGAGATTGATACTACCATGAGCTTCTTTTTTATATATCGAATAAATTATTCGAAAGCAAATACTCATATGTATTCTAAGCCATCGACTTGACGAACTTGATAAGAAAGATGAAGATGCACGTGTAGAGAAAATATTTCGATAGATGGATCGTGTACATTTGAAGCTGTGTGACAATAAAAATCAAGAAGACGTTCAGTAACTAATATCTCTTTCTTTGTTTGAGGTGAATATAAGAGTTTAATAGCTAATGAATAAATGACAAAATGGGAAAATAAAAGAATTGGTAAATGATTGGCCATTTTAGATACTCCGACATGAAATACGAAAATACGAGAATTTTTGCTTTCTATCGCGATGTCATTATAATTGATTCAAGAAAAACAACTTTCATATTATGAGAAATAAACAAATGTTGAAGTTTATTGCCAATTTCCTGTATTGTCTTTTTGTCTATATGTGAACACAATTGATTTATTAAATATACAATGTCTCGAGCACATAAGGTGTACCAACTTATAAATGATCTATATGGGGTGATTGAATATTCGAAGTAAAGACAAATCACATCCCATCTACAACTGATTCTTTATCACCATTTGATTTCCGTATAGCTTTTCGAACTGCTTTAAGATAACTATTAAGTGTACGAGCTATAAGATCATTATTTCTATATGGATAAAGAACTTTACTATATTCTAGATTCTTAGAACATAAAAAATCAAGCTTATTAAAAAAGAATACTATAGAGATGTTAGTTTTGATAAAAAAAACCTACCACAAGAAATTGTTGTTGTTTATAAAAAAAGTAAATCTTAAAATCAATCGCACATTTCTGTTAAAAAATCACTGTTTCTTTTATACCAAATGAAAGTAAAAAATCGAATGCCTTTCCCGCTTATTGTAATATAAATTACACTAGACTTCTTTACAGAACTATACTTTTAAAAATAAATTTACATTCAAATCTTGGATAATTTACAAAATCTAAATACTAAGAGATATTTTTGGTAACAAAGAAAATTCTCGTACAAAAACCAAGGGTTCAAGATAAAGTTCGAACAGTCATCCATATTATACGCTAATTCTATGAGTTGTGATTATTTCAATCAATCAGATCATTAAAAATTTGAACACAATAATGCCACTTAATGAAGTATTTTTTTGCAGATAAAAGCGCAACGACTATAACGATACTTTTTAGCGTTATCACTATTGCGGCGCATAGAGCGCTTGAATACATTACGATACTTAGCGTCGTTATAACGCCTGATAACGCCACTATATGGCGTTTTGGCGCTATAACGGCGTTAGTTAAAAAAAAAGAACGACATGGGATATTGCTATACAATGTTGTTAAGTTGATATTATTAGTTGGAGACAAATTGGATTGAATTTCAATTGCTTTTTTGTAATTTTTCAATGCTTCTGTGTAGTTAGCTTGTTTATGATAGTTTTCTCCAATATGTGAAATGATTTCTATCATTTCAAGTTGGTTTTGTAATTCTAATTGAATTTCCAATGCTTTGTTAAATTTCTTTGTTGACTCAACATATTTACCTAGTTTATTGAAAGCTAGTCCCATATGTGTGTATGTTGTTGCTAAGTGGTCTTTGGCTGAATCGGGCTTTTTCAATTGATTTTGAAGAGATTTTTCATAATTATCAATTGATTTTTGATAATTTCTGAGTAAGAGATAAGTATTACCAATATGAAAATATAATAATTCAAGATCATGATGATCTTCTTGAAAGATTTTGGTCATGATTGTCTGAGACGCTTGAAAATGTTCTAATGCTTTATCGTATTGATTTAGTTTTAAATTAATTCTACCAAGATTAAAATGCATGGCAGCTAAATCTGGATGAGTGTTTGGAGATGACTTTAGTTGTATTTCAAGTGCTTGTTCGCAATGTTTAAGTGCATCAGTAAAATTTTCTCGAATTAAATAAATCACACCAATACTATTTAATGTAGCTGCAAGATCGATATGATCATTTGGAAGTGATTTTAGTCGTATATCAAGTGCTTTTTGGAAATAATCCATAGCTGTATCATTATTTCCAAGTTTATAATGCACATCCCCCATGTTATAATAAATCGACCCAATAGTTGGATGATCATGTTCTAAAGTATCATAAAATATAGTCAATGCTTTTTCATAAAAATCTAAAGCTTTTATTAGATCGTTAGTATTGGTATAAAGTAATGCCATATTGTTATATGTCGTTCCAATTTTGTAATGATTCGATGGTAATGATTTTTGTTCAATGGTCAATGCTTTTGTATAATTATTTAATGCTTCATCATAACGGTTTAATTGATTTAGCAGTAATGCGATATTATTGTAGGTTGAAGCAATATTTGGATGTAGTTCTGGTAAAGATTCGAGTTCAATATTAAGTACTTTATTGTAGTATTCTAGTGAAAGTTCATAGTCTAGGTTATGCCTATAGACCATTGCAATATTGTTATATGTTGATGCCATAAAAAGAGGATTTTCCGGTATAGATTTTAATTTAATATCACGTGCTTGTTTTAAATTTTTTATTGCTTCTTCATACTTTCCAATTCGATCGTTTAACAAACCGATTGAGTCGTATACGTAAGCAAGGGCTATATGAAAATCTGGTTCGAGATTCGACGCTATCGATAGGGCTTGCTCATAATATTCTGAAGCTGTGTGATAGTCTCCTCTATTTAAATAAGTATCACCAGTATTGGTGTAAACTATTGACATAGAGCCATCATTTGGTGGTAATTGTTCAAGTAAAATTCGATAATATTTTTCTGCTCTATCATTATCTCCCATGTAGGAGAATATTTTACCAAGATCGAAAAGTGTTGGCGTTTTACCAATTTCTTCCTCAAAACTAATCATAAGTTGCTTTAGTTCTAAGTTGTCTCTATTATATAATTTTAATTCAACAGACCAAACAGTATCATTCATTGGTTCAACATTTTCAATCCTAAATATTGTACCTATTGAAAATAATATTTCTTCTTCATCGCTAAAATTACTCGAATATTCAATAAGAGAGTACGGTTGATCATGAATATGATCGTCAATAGAAATTGTAAAAATAACTGTTGGATTATCTCGAGTACCATCAATACCAAATCGAGAAGCAACTGACGATGATTTACTTGTCGAAAAAAATGTATTCACTGAAATCAATCCATTTTGATTTTCTTCTAAAGCTTTTAATTCTTCTATAGACATTTGTGCTCCACGATATACAGTTGAAATTTTTTTATCATTGGATATTTTTTCAGTATGTTCACGGTACAATTGTTCCAGATGATGATGAAGATCAGCAATAAAAGATCGAAATTTATAGATAGCATCAATATTTTCTGTACGAAGTGCTCTATTCAATAAACGAAAAAGAAAGATATCTTTTGAATACCATTCAGCTGCGTGATTTTTAACGTAGTTTCTTGAAAATTCTTCTATTTGGTTCAATACTTTTTCATTATTTTTATATTGTTTTCGACATAAATTAATCATTTCATTTATAGCACTATCAGCATGTTCCATATTGATAAGAATTTTTATTAATAATTGAAACCACATGAATGAAACACTCTCCTTGCTTAAATCTCGAAGGCATCTTTGCTGAGCATTTTCATTCAATATACTTATAGGTAAAAAATTTCTTATTTCTAATTTTACATTGGATATTAATTTTGAATAAAGTTCATTTTTATCATTGAAAACACCTTGGAGTTTTGGTTTATATTGAATCGACCAAGTTTCATGTTTCATTTTATCATAACAAAATATATAGATAGAAATAATTTTAGATAAATCATAAATTTGAGCTATTACACTTTCACCTAATTGACCTGAAACAATAAATAATATTTTTGTTTCTGTTGTAATAGAATTAATATAAGTAAGGCATTCATTAACGCAATCAAATACTTTCAAATAATCAACGATAGAGCGTAATGTATTGATCATTTCTAAACAATCTTGATTTTTGTTCACATTTGAATCGAGCCATACAATAGACAATTCTTCAAGATTTTCATCGTTCGAGGTGTTAAAATTTTTGTTTGAAGAAAAGTTCGATTTTCTTACAGTAGAACTCGTCTCATCGATTGGTGGCTCGTCCATGATTTGTGAACAAGTATGCAACTATTTGAATGAATGTTTTTATTTTACTAAAGGTTGGTTCTAAAGTAAAGAAATATAGAATGTTAATATTCATGTTAACTACTTCATGTTTATATTTTTTACGGATAGTTAAGCTATTATAGACGCTTACCTAATTCTCATCCACTACATGAAGACTTTGAGTTATTTAATAAAAATCTAAAATATAATTTATAATAGGATAGAAAATGAAGAATATTGGCTAGATCGAAATGAAGTCCCTTATGTTTGTATTCGCATCACCTTATGTAATGAAATTAAAAAAAGTACTTGCAACTCTGTATCAGCTTAAATTTCGAACAGAAGAATATATTCAATTGTTGGATGCTCTCCAATTTCATATGATGGTTATAAGCACAAGTGCCGCTATTCTGTGTAACTCGTTTGACTCCCTGACCCACTACATATTTCACTCCTTTGATACTTTTTTTACAGCTTTACATCGCTTTTAGGAGCTAAAATGAATCGCAGTTCTCGAAAACTATCAAACTAGTCTGTATATTCTTCAACACATAAATCAAAATCATCATTCTACAGTGCTTATTCGGCAAAACTATAATATTAAGGCGAGTCGTATTTATTCAAAACAATACTCAGCATAAGTCACGTGAGTGAGAGTCGTACTTGAAGTCTTTGTCAGGTTAAATAATTAATTTCAAAACACCCAAAAAAGTTAGATAAACGGATAAACAGAAAGACTCATTTTGTTTCATCCAAATTTACTCACAATTAATTTATATAAGTTGTTCAGTTGATATTTTCTACAAAATATTCTGCTCAGGCAGTCAGCACGTGACAAAGAAATTGATGCATTTTTTTTCGACCATCTGTTTCTCTTTCCTTTTTTTTTCTTACCAAAGTAAATGATTTCATATACCGTGATGACTCATGAACTTAGTTGGAAAAAACCTTCATTATATATATAAACAATTCTATTACTATGCCAACGTTGGAAAAAAAGAAGCTATGGAAAAAAACAAGAAGGAGATATACGATGTGTAAAAAAACAACAGAAGAGGATCACTATGTTTAAGATAAACATTTTGAAAAGAAAAACAAATCCGATTATTATTTAAAACTATTTTATTTTGTGTGATCTTTCATTTAGTCAAGGGAATAAAAATATCTATTCTATTCGGCTTATGAAAATCTTTTATCGTTAGTTACGAAATTGTTAATTAAAAGCAACATCGTTTTGCTTTTTTTTTTCAAAGTTCAATTAGGAGTTTTCTATGTTTTCGTTAATAAAGATTTAGCGCCGAGCGTTTAGAAAATTGATATCGAGAATGTGAAGGAACTAAAACGAAAAAAAATTGTGATTTTAATCACAGAAGCTGTTAATATTCACCTTATGGCTAAAAAAATTAAAAATTCACGAAAAAAGAAATCGAAGTTGCAATGCATCTCTTTTTCTTCAATAACTGTATTAAATTATAATCTACTTTCCCCAACATAATAGATCTTTCCACTGATAGATAGTTTTCAACGTAACTGCAATTCGAATGATTAATAGATCTTTGAAAAAATTATTTAATCTTGAAAATCGTCAAATATTTCATCAAGTAAACATCGAATAGTTTTATCAGTAGCGTCAAGAAATTCGAATGTGACATCTTACACTTACTATTCGGATTCTATACAGAAATTGAACTGATTTATGAGAGGATTTCTTCAAATGCATTAGACCTTATTTGTGAAGTTTCGTCATTTTATTTATTTCTTTTTCTGCTCTTCTGTCAGTAGACTTTAATTTTTTCTTGCAGTTCTCTTTCGGCTTGCTTTTTCGCTACCAGCTTCTCTTTTTTCTTCCTTGTGCAATGTATATAAACTACTCTTATTTTTTTTATTGCTATTATAAAAAAATACGTTACTCAGACTCCCCACTTAAAAGTAATATACGTTTATATTTATTCGATCATCGAGCGAAGAAAAGAGAGTTGAATGTTTATTTCGGTTTACTACTTTTTCTTTTGTTATAAACAGTGGGTGATATTTTAAGTGAATATATGTGTTAATACAAATGGAATTTTCTGAAATAAAAGTACGTTGTCGGAAGCAATGATGATTGTAAGGGCGTGGATGTATGTAGATTAAATGCTTTATTTGAATTTCCAGGAAATTCATTTGAATTTTCGGACACCCCTTTTATTTCCTGTTTATCAAGGTATAGGAGGTATAAGTAGGTATCAGGCGCTGTAGGGGGCATAAGGAGGTATAACCAAGTCAGCAGCTACCGGGACTTCTTTTTTCGGGATTTATTGGGATTTTTCAATAAGTCCGTAAGCACTTTGAGATAAATCCCATACAGTTCCTCGCTACATACAGAATGTGGATGAGGGTGTGGGTGTTGATGTGACTATACTGGGATAGCATCAGTGTGAATAAATCAGAATAAATCCTCAATAAAGAAATAAATCCGCTAGAAAGAATAAATCTCGAAAAAATAAGTCCCGGTAGTCCCTCATTCCTTCACGAAGAGCTTTTAACGATTCTAATGCTTGCTGATTTTTGTCTTGATTTTTACTTTGAAATTCTATAATATACATAGCATTTTCCAGAGTCCATTTATCTTTTTCCATAGTAATAATCGTTTCAACTGAATAAATTTCTTTTATTTCGGCTTTCAACTTATCGCAAAATTTTGGATGATTAAAAAATTCAGCGCCAAAACAATGACTGGCAACTGGAAGTCGCCAACTAAAAATTATGGGTTCAGTCCTGAAATAGAAAGTTTTTCAAGGAATCTTTTCTGTTCGTATGTTAATGAATATTGAATTACGATATTTTGTTTTTCGGTGTAAGTGGTTGTATCGATAAATGAGAAATTCAATAAATTGATAATAATGTGAAACAGTTTTTTTCATTTAAAGTTACCGGCTCCAAACATAAATCTAAATTGCGTGGAAGATCATCCTGTATGAAAAGTAAAATAAAACTCAAAAGAATTCGGTAGTTTTAACAGGTACCGTATCGTTGATTGCAGTTGCCGGACTGATTATTGTTTGTGCGTCATTGACTACTATAGTACTTATATCCTATGTACATAAGATAGAAATACAAATTATTATGTCAATTAGAAGAGTTTCTTTTTATTCATTACTGTAAAATTATTTGATTGTGATATTTTACTCATTGATGTTTGCGGTCGTTGACAGACTAGTACTTCCACTTCCTAGTAAAATTTAATAGTTTGTTATGTTGCAAATCTTTTTTTCAAAAATTATTACATTTAGCTTTCGGTCAAAATCCCCATCCATTATTTCTCCTTGACAAAAGAAAAAGATACAAAATTCATAAATTAAGTTTAATTGGTCTAAGAAATATCTTTCAATGCGGTATAAAAAACATAATCCTGCCTACTTATATATTTTTCATGTTCATTTGTCGATAAAATTATTTTCAATATTGAAATAGGCAACAATGAGAATTCGTTATGATTGATTAATGATCTGTACACAATTGAAATCTAAAGTACACGTGAATGTTAGTCAATATTTTATACAAAGAAGCCAAATAGTAGATGCTTATTATTCAAGAAGTATCAACACGCGTGCATTCAATGAAAATAATTCAAGAGAAAGCAAAGCATTGTATACTTTCTTTTCTTTCCTTCATGTTGTTTTTTTTAAAGGTTTTTTCCAACTTTGTTTTATGATGGTGTTCGTAGTTGACATCTGCATGAAATTGATTTTTGTTTTCGTTATATTCAATAGCGTTATGTCTCGCTGGACGCTGTAATATGAATAGAAAAAATGTCATTCAAATTATAATGCAACTCATAATCAACAATTAGTAAAGATAAAAAAGCATGTAAACCATTTTCTGAGTTATTTTTAGCAAATTGAGAGCACATATTTGAATTTATAAAGTATCTCAATTGAAATGATTGTATAAACATGATTTTAGGAATCTAATTTTATTTATTGTACATGTACATTTAATGAAACAGATCAACTAAATGTTTCATGGATCATTCTCTATGATACACATCATGTACTATTAACTTGTAGTAGTCATATATTCAAGCTTTGTAGGCTTGAAAAAGAAGTCAATAAATGACAATTGCGATAGCGTGCGAAGTGTAGTACGAGATGATCACATCAACACTTATCCGCATTCCAACTTCATAAACATGCACTTAGCATCCATCAGCACGCACGTATTGCAGCACGATGGAGAACAGTTACAACGGTGAGTAATATGGTAGATCTGTAGCATCGTACAGACTACTGTACGGAAGCAATAGAATACTATTCAAAAGTTCTTGATATATAATTATTAGATATGATTATCGACAACTGAATTTTGATTGCAGACCAGATGTAGAAATAAAGCAGACACTCATGATCGATCTACGACCATATCTTAATATGAACAATATTTAAGATGAAAATTAAGAGAAACAAATCGAATTTGCACATCTATCAGACATAATACCGAAAAAACTGCACCCATCATTATACTAAGGAACAAATCATTCGTTTCGGATTGATTTTCATTCATCTCTAATGATTGAAACGAAAATAAATATCATAGGTTTTCGGAAAAAAAAATATTCACGATTACAAAATATCATGTGACTCATTCTTTCTCATACATCTTGAGCTTACTTCTTCAACCAACGTTTTCTTATAAATCGACTGATTGAGGGTGTGGATGTGGATGTGTGTGTGAGTCTTCAGTTCAACTACATCCATACCCACATCCTTCTTTGTTTTTTGATTATGTGTAATCCTCCACATCTGCTCCCATTTTTTTTATTATCATCATGCATCGCTCTATTATGTATGCTGATTCGTAGCGAT